TGATTTTAAAACTCTGATTTGATACAGGTACCGTTGGAATGTTTTAACCATAGCAAAATGTTGCATTCATCGACGATACTATCTTTTTCACGGGCACAAGCGTAAGAGAATCGTTAGCTGGAAAGCATCTGTTGAGAAGTAGAAACTGATTATGTGGTTGTTGAGGCTAAATATAGGAGCGAAATGTTCCGAAGCAAAAACGCAAGTCGATTTAATGGAAGATCAGTTTCATTGTTCATATGGCTGAAGGGAGCTGTAACCTTTTCTGCAGCTTCTGCCAGGTGCATTCAGTGGATCGGCACTGATATCCGACCATCCAGGCTTACATTTGCACGCATATCCTTCGATTGTGTCCACACAGTCGGCGTTACTATCGCATTCGTGTGTGCCCAATGCGCATTCATCAACAACTGAAATTCAATTTGATCTGTAGAAATTCAGTTTGCTCAATTAGCCAATTGCAGTAATATCAGCAAATTGTTGTGTCAATGATGCGAATCTAACTCACACGATGAATAGTATTTTCTGTACATTACATACATTTTGTTTTGATTAACCCTTTGCATGGAAAATTTTCAATTGGGATGGTGTTTTAAAAAAATCAGAAAAAGTATCAAATTTCTGGAAAGCCAAATTCAAATGTCCTAATTAAAATAGAAAGTGTGAATCGCTAAAAATTGAAACCTCTGGTTCAATGGATTATATGACATTTATAAAATATGGATAGTTAATGTGCATATATATGTGGATGTGTGCGATTTCCGCGATATGTTTAATTACCAACTCGCATTCATTTCACTATTCTTTCTCAAGGCCAAACATTCAATATAAACACCACAATCGCTCGCAATAATCACAACTCATCCATGTATTTCTTTTAGATTTTGATGAATCTCCATTAGCAACCAAAAAAATTGTTCAGAATTGGATCAAAAATTCGTTCTCACACAGTATGAAGATTGTTGGACGTATAATGTCTTCACTTACTGCCGTAATTAACTAGTTTAATTATATGTTTTGATGTTTTACGCATCCAAGTGCCTAGAATTTTGATTTATGATTATTATATCCAATGATATGAAAGTGTGTCACTCTTCCTCATNAACTAATTTGATTCAAGCAGATCATTGTTTTTGAAGAAAAACAAGAGAACAGATGAGAATAAAATTCGCTCTTGTAAGATGATCATAGAAAATGTGAATAAAGAAAATAGGTAGTGTGATTATAATAGGTTGAAATTACGTCGATTAGATGTGGTATATATGTTCCTTTATTGATGGATGTGCTAAATTCCGTTAGATTAACAAAGGAGCATCTCGCATTCCGGATAAATTCGTCATGCATAACATCTCTCTCACATACAAAACATTCACATCAATCATTAACCTATTAGATTTGCATAACATTGTTTGAATATCAATGCTATACATTTCAGAACGAGCTCTTAAATAACACACATCATATAAAGAGAATACAATAATTATAGTGAGAATTTACAAAAGAATGCAAATTCCAAAACTCTTGAATTGAAAATTCTTTCAGTGAGTTTCGATACGTTTTGCAGTTGGCTATATGGGAGGAATTATGCGATTACGAATCTATCTTAACAATGCTTTTTG